TTTTATACATTTCATAATTTTACATAATTTAATATTTCATAAATCAGGGTTTTTGCTCAATAGCGTTCCAGTCTTTTGACCCACGTGCACAAAACTTACACCAAACTACTCTCCAAGACGAGTCAGACGAGACACACCTTTTAATTTTTCAATTTTTTATACATTTCATAATTTTACATAATTTAATATTTTATAAATCAGGGTTTTTGCTCAATAGCGTTCCAGTCTTTTGACCCACGTGCACAAAACTTACACCAAACTACTCTCCAAGACCAGTCAGACGAGGCACACCTTTTAATTTTTCAATTTTTTATACATTTCATAATTTTACATAATTTAATATTTCATAAATCAGGGTTTTTGCTCAATAATGTTCCAGTCTTTTGACCCACCCACACAAAACTTACACCAAACTACTCTCCAAGACCAGTCAGACGAGGCACACTTCTTAATTTTTCATTTTTTATGCATTTCATAATTTTACATAATTTAATATTTCATAAATCAGGGTTTTTGCTCAATGGCGTTCCAGTCTTTTGTCCCACGTGCACAAAACTTACACCAAACTACTCTCCAAGATGAGTCAGACGAGGCACACCTTTTAATTTTTCAATTTTTTTATACATTTCATAATTTTACATAATTTAATATTTCATAAATTAGGGTTTTTGTTCAATAACGTTGCAGTCTTTTGACCCACGTGCACAAAACTTGCACCAAACTACTCTCCAAGACGAGTCAGACGAGGCACAGCTGTTTATATTTCATTTTTTATGCATTTCATAATTTTACATAATTTTATATTTCCTATATCAGGGTTTTTGCTCAATAACGTTCTAGTCTTTTGACCAACACACACAAAACTTGGTCCTTGGTCAACTTTCAGGACCAGACTTAAGGCTTCTGTGTTTTCTGATGTCCAAGGTCTACGCAGCCAGCACAGATAGAACATGCAACGTCTCTCAGAATTGTCTATGTTCTTATGGTTTTTAATCTACATACAAACAAAAAAAAATCAGTGTATAATTTTTTCTGTGGGTAAAAATCAAATTTATTCACCTCAGTTTTCGACGTGTGTACACAACGGTCAAGCACACTACACGGTGCAGAGCAGAGAGAACTTCCAGGTCAGACCTCTTGTCAAAAAATCATGAAAATCGAAACTGAGTGCCCGTTATCCCTTTTTTCCATTTTCGTTTTTTGCACAAAATTGGATGACACTTCATCATCAGATTTGTTCATTTTGGTTTAGTGAACGAAAAATGAAAAAAGAAGTGTGTTTTTGTTTTTTCGTTTTTAGTTTCAAACATTAAACAAACTGCCTGAATGTACACGGACCCTTATAATTACATCTGCATTTGCAATCTGCAGGTGACCTCAGCTTTAAAATCTCGAAGCACACCCAGTTTTGCCAGACTGGGCGGTTTTCATTCGGTTTTAGCGGGTAAAAATTGCTTTGTCTTTGGACGGGTGGGAATAATTTAGGCGGAATTGGAGTCAGATCTGCGGTTTTTGAGTTAACCTACATTTCAAACAATCATGGTTCAAAGCTCCCCTGAACTTTTTCCATCACTTATTGGCCATTGTCATCGGCCAGGTTGTTCACAACGGAGAACTTGTGAGTCAGTTAGTGGACACCTCGTTGAGTGGGCTGACCCGTTGCAGCGGTACGTCGGAGCGGCCGCCATATTGGAT